GGTGTTAAAGGAAACAAGAATAGTGAAAGGTAATCAAAACTATTGAGAGTTGAGGATCGAGATTGAGAGAATTTAATCAACAATGAAATGTGAACTTAAAGCAATAAATTGAAATGTGCAGATTAAGATTACAAGGCGTAAAGACTTAGGAAAGGTTCGAAGGCACGTATCATCGAAAAGAGATTGGGTTAAACAAATAACAAATCAAGTTGAAAGGATATAGTCGAGCATCAAAGATCGAAGAGTTGAAGATGTCGAATTTCAAGTTGCAAATTAAAAGGAACAATACATCGAGAAGAAGTTATGCAATCGAAAAATATGCAGACACAATTATTATCCAATTACGTGATATGCGCGCCTATAAATGTTACGTGATAGTAAAGTGGGTCGAGGAAAAGGAAAGTAGTTATACAAAAGTAACTGTTTGTGGATTTTTATTTATATTTTGTATATTTGATTTTACTTCATTTTAATTTATTTCTTATTTTTCTTATATATTTAAGTGTTTTAGCAGTTACATAGAAAAAATATAAATATAGTGAAATAAATGTAAAATACGTTATTGTCAAATTATACGAAGAAACTTAAATTTTGAAAACACTACTACGAACAAGAGACAAACATTTTTTAATGGAGTTATTTACAATTTTAATAGTCATCTTTATTGATTTCCTTTATCAATTCATGTTTTATCCTTGATAATAGATTAGATTTATTTTTATACAATTTACTTCCTCTCCACATTTATATTTTGTTGCACATTTATTTTTTAGGAATTTACTTTAACTATTTTTTTCTTGTAATTTAATTTAAATGTTACAAATTATATTAAAAATTTAAATTAAATGTGAATGGTCTTTGATATAAATACATTATGTTGTAATTGGTGTTGATAGTATATAAATTCTGAAATTCTTGTTGGGTAGGAAAAAAAATAAAAGAATTTATATGATATTTGAATGATTTATTACTTACTTTAAATATTGGTATATATGTATTTAATCGAATAACAAATCATTTACTATAAGAACAATTTACAGCAAACATAAACTCTTTGATTTAGGGAGTTGTGTTTTACCATGAGCCTAAGAGTAAAAATCAATTATTTATATAATATATGAGTTAACTCATCAAAATTCTTTATAAATACAAAAGTAGTGATGAATGTGCTTGCATCTCCACCACCTTGATTGGATTCTATTACTTGTAAAATTATTGATTGTTAAATTTGGAAGATGGAATTGAATAGTCAGGATTAAAAAAATTCATTTTTACTGTATTATGTGCTTTGAAGGATTGATATTTAAAATTTTTATCACTTTGACCTAATTCAATAAAAATTAATTTAAAATTTTTTTTCTATAAATTTATATATATATATATAAACAATGGGTGTTTTTTACATAGATGTTTCGGTATCTTTTAACATGGTTAACACGTTTATAGCATGATTGACAACTGTCAAATGCTTACAAACAAGTAAACCAAATAATATGAATTCCAAAATAGAAGTCAGCAGTTTGAAAAGGTAATAAAAATACGTAGCTTGCACGAAGTCAGTAAACACCAATCCAGTGTCACACTCTGAGTAGTCAATCTTAGCAATCACGCACCTCCAAAGCCATTGGTAATCAATGCACATAATTGCTGACATTCAAACGTGGTCAGAAATAAGCTGACATTGACATGTACCTAGCTGGTCTCTTTAGATTGTGTTTATATTGGATCTTACAAACTTTATTTTTCTTAAACTTGATTTTCTCCATAACTAAATTTTAAGTCAATTATGTTTGGAACTTTAGTAAAAACTAATTTTGGTATAAATAATGTTAATCAGATTAGTTTATGGATAATAATAACTTTGATGTGTATAATTATTAAAAAGAAATATGTGATTGTTGTTAAAGTAATAATCTAGTTTTGAATTATTAGTAACATTTATTCATGTGAATTTATGACCATAAGAAATAAACACCAACACTACTACAAAATATGCTTTCAACGTCGCCATTTAACGTCGCTTCAAGCTGAGCCGACGTTAAATACACTTTCAACGTCGGTTGGTTAAAAAACGACGTTGAAAGCTGAATGTTGGACACATTCTACGCTCGGCTCTTAGTTAACCGACGTAGAAAACACTTTCCACGCTCGGCTCTAGATGAACCGAGCGTTGAAAGTCTTTTTTTATTTTTATTTTTACTTATTGATAGCGGTTATAAAGGAACCGCTATCTAAAGTCGACTTTAGATAGCGGTTCTATGGGAACCGCTATCTAATGTCGACTTTAGATAGCGGTTCTATGGGAACCGCTATCTAATGTCGACTTTATGATCGATCATTTCAAGTTATGATCGATCGAATATTATTTCGCTCGAGCGAGGGCAGTGTCGCCAGCCGAAATGCAACCCGAGAATGCTAATTTTGTGCAGGAGGCTTTTCGCTCGAGCGAGAAGGGTGTCGCTCAAGCGAGATACACTTTAGATAGCGGTTCTAAGGGAACCGCTATCTAATGTCGACTTTAGATAGCGGTTCTAAGGGAACCGCTATCTAATGTCGACTTTATGATCGATCATTTCAAGTTATGATCGATCAGAACCTTATTTCGCTCGAGCGAGGTTAGTGTCGCTCAAGCGAAATACAACCCGAGAATGCTAATTTTGTGCAGTGGCGTTTCGCTCGAGCGAGAATGGTGTCGCTCAAGCGAGATACATTTTAGATAGCGGTTATGACCGATCGAACTATTTTAATCGATTAAATCTCGTTTCAATCGATTAAAACAATTTCTGCACAACGTTTTAATCGATTAAAACTTATTTTTATCAGCTTAAAATTACTTGAAAAGTTTTACGAGAAAGTTTTATAGTATTTCAATCGATTGAATCGCGAAACAATCGATTAAATCAACTTAGAATATTTTTTGTAAAGTGTTTTAATTGATATAAACGTTGTCGTACGTATCAGTTAAAACAAATCTGTTTTAATTGATATACATTTTTGTAAAGTGTTTTGATTGGGTGTTTTGGTCACTCAGATTTGAGATTCAAGGTCATTGGGTTGGATTTCAAGCTTGAGGTCGAGTCATGCATGCTCGGGTTAAAGATCTTGGAAGTCGAATAGAAGGGTGGAGGATTGGGGTTGGAGAGACGAAGGTGATTAAACTCGAACAATGGTGGATAGTCACCGGTACAAGGTCGAAAAGAGGGAGTGAAATTGTGAGCTGGAAGGTGAATTTGGGAGGGTCGTCAAGCATGAAGAACACAAAATTTTGGAGGATTATCGATGCGAAGAAGATGAACGTATCGGGTTTATTTGTATATATTTACACTGGATATATATTTATTTGTATATAAATATAATTTATTCGTAAGTTATTATCAAAAAATTCAAGTAGTTTAGTGGTTGGAGTATCGCCTCCAACTCTAAAGTATCTGGTTCGAATCCGTCAATGACAATTCTCTTAAAAATTAAAAAACTTCTAAAAAATATAATATAAAGAGATGGAGAACCTAATTAAAATATAATAGGAAGAGAGGGAGACTTATAGATAAATAAAAGGGGGTAAAGGGGTTGTAAATAAATAAAAATTATTAATTTAAAAAATCATACTTTCAACGTCAGTTTTTAAGAACCGACGTTGAAAGTCGACTTTAGATAGCGGTTCTAAGGGAACCGTTATCTAAAGTGTATTTTTCAACGTCGGTTTTTTTGAACCGACGACTTTCAACGTCGCCTGATACAACGTCGGTTATTAAACCGACGTTGAAAGCCTTCCAGAACCGACGTTGAAAGCTTTATTTATAGTAGTGCAACATTATAATTTAAATTAATATGCATTAACATGTTTACACAAACTTCATATCATTTTGATATCCTTTACTGTTCTATATTTTCTCTAACATTAAGAGACAAATTGTAAAATCTTGTAGCAATTCTATGCTCAATATTTTAATGATATAAAAATAAATTTTATTCCTCAAACACATGAATTAAAATACTGGTTACATTGGAATCATAAAATAATTGAACCTGAATTCGGTGCAAAGGAAGTGAAGAATATTGGTAACTTATCATAAACTAATAACAATATTTTCAATTGAACTACCCTTACCAATCTAAAATCGTTTCCTGACCATGATAACAATCCGTCCCATAAATGAGATAGTTTTTGTTTTTATTGTGAGAGAGAACCATAAATGAGATACTCAATGCTACCAAACAGTTGTGGACACCTGTGCTTGGAAGATGTCTCTTCTGCTCTATTTGCACTTCCAGAATATTTCAACCCATCAATATCATTTCACTCCAACAAGCAACCCACGAATTCCTCTTCAAAATTGAAGGTAACGAGGGAATCTCTTATTTTATTGAGGAGTGAAAAAAAGAAAGTAAAAAGAAAAACACCCTCTTGTTACAAAATCATCGTACCAAACCATTAATAATAAAAAATCATAAAGAAGAATATTGTGTCGGTTGGCTTAATCTTGTAATAAGAAAATAATGCCATCTCATCTATTTATGCACACAGCAAGCTTGGTCATTACTCATTATTTTGTGCACTTCCTGATCAGAATTCTCCTATATCCGAAGTTAACAGCTTGACGCTCATAATTAATAATTTAATAATCCTATGTCCCAATAGAAAAACTGTAAAGAAACAAACAAGGAGAAGAATCCTAATTCCTAGCGTAGAGGCTAATCTGCTTGGTGGGGACCATTGCACCCTTCCCCAAATTGTCATTTTCAAGATGGATAAACACACACTCAATTCATGTGTAAATGGCATGTGAGCTCACCCTTTATGTTTCAAGACCAATCAAGACACCCAAATGGTGGCAGTTACTCTTGTGTGCTTCCAGTGAGGAAATTCCACGCAAAACTCCACAAAAGCCACCTTTGATTTAACAAATCAACACCCATTTCTCAAAATCCCATTTTGATTTTGCTTCTTTTTCTTATATAGTCCCATTTTCATTTTGAATACTCCTTGATCTGGTGTGAAGATGGACACTAATGACTGGGTAGTCCTTTCTGATGATAGTCTTTTTGATGTCAATGAAGATTGTGCTGAGAAGCAGATTTATTTGGGAAAAAGGAACTTGAATTCAAAAGGTGTTTTTGATGTGGATGACTATTACTTCTGCACCTCACCAAAATTCAAGAAAACCTCTGAGGCATCAAGGAATTTTCATCCAAGGGTTATCAGAGAGGTTGCCCATATTCCAATTCAATTGGAATCAAGAATTGGGAAGGCCCCAGATGAAGGGTTAGTGGAAGAAAACACCAAGGATCATGTTGAGGTCACTCTTGTGCCATCACCAATTACCAGTGAGAAAATAAAAGAAGTGGTTTTGGGAGCTGGTAAGGACACTGTGCCACAGCTTTTTTCCAAGATCAGGGAAATTGAGTCCCCAAAGTCCGTTGGTAGAGGATTATTCATTTCACCTGACATAGGTGCTTTGAAATTTGAGGACATAGGTGGTGAGGCACATGAGATCATGGTCTCTCCCAGAGTGAAGATTGAGAGAGATAGGACCATTATGGACGCTGACAAAGAAGTGGAGGACTGTAGTGATGGTTTTAACTTTTGGAAGTGGAGCTTGAATGGTGTTGGAGCTATCTGTTCTTTTGGGGTTGCTGCTGCCACAATCTGTGTCCTGTTCTTTGGAAGCCAACAAAGGAACAAATTCCACCGGGATCAGAGGATTCGGTTCCAGGTCTACACTGATGACAAGGTCAGCAAATGTCTCTTTTTTTTTTTTTTTTGTCTAATATCACTTAACAGTTAAAAAAAAAACAAGTATAGTTTTATGCATAAGTTAGTATAGGATTGTGATGGAAGGCCCTTTCTACCGTTGGATGAAATGGTGTCTTTAAAAAAAGTGGGGTTGGGGGAAGACGGTATCTTTGTTTACTTTTGCAAAATAATGGAATTTTATTATTCTTGAAGAGTATCTTAGATATGGATTTTTGAAAATTGAACTATCAAAATGACTCTTAATTGTGACCGCAGAGGATAAAGCAAATGGTACAGCATGCAACCAAATTGAATGAAGCAGCATTTTCATCAATGAATGGTGTTCCTCTGAGTAGAGCTCGCATTACTTGTGGTGGTTACTATGACGGTCTTGGTCTTTGATTTAGGCATTGATTAAGGAATTTAGGGATACTACAATTGGTCAACGATGTGGCAAAATCCTCCGTTAAAGATCTATCATATAGTCTTTTTCTTCTGTGTAAATAAAATAACTAGGAATGGTGTCTTGTAAATTAAGCTACATAATATTATTATTACTATTATTATTATTTTAAAGGTTGGCACTAGTGAAAGAATTGGTAAAGGAAGGTTTCCGAAAGTAGTGAGAATACGAATAGAAACTTCACGCATACTGGCCCAAATGTTGGCATAAGTTGGCAGAATTAGGTCGGACAGCAATTATAAATATTTCGAAATTTTCAATCAACATAAAAATCCTAAAAACTCTCAAAATCTAGATGAAGTCAAATCTTATTCACTAAAAATGTCTAATAAACAAATTAAATATATTACATGCATACATAATAATTTCTATGTACAAATCTCTCAGATTTATACTTAAAATTCTTTAAAAATGGATAAAAAAATATTATTCTATTAAAAATTATGATTAATTAGGATTGTTCTCGACTCGAAAAGTATTATAATAATTTGAATTTAGAAAAAAAAATGAAAGAAGGAGTGAGAATCCTAAAAAGAAGTTAAAGAAAAGAAGTTTTAGAAAAAATAAAATTTTGTGAAATAAAATTTTAAAAAATTAATTTTTCTATTTTTAATATTTTTAATTTATTTGAAAAAGGTCAACCCTTTATTCTATTAAACCACTTATATTTTTAACCTGCTTTAAATTATTCTAAATAAATTTAAAAAAATATATATTTATTTTTTGACTAATAAAAAATATAATACTATGTAACTCTCTCTTTCATAAAGATAAAAATGAAGAGATTAAAGATTATATTTTAATTGATTATAATAATAATTCTACATCATTAATTAAAATCATAAATTGAAATCATATTATAGGATTCCTAAAAATCACATGATTGAATCCATTGTAAACTTAATAAATTTATATATAGTCTTAATCAGACTTCAAAGAGTTGGGTTACAAAATTGAATACTACATCACTATATTATGATTTCAAACAATCAAAGTTTGATTATTCTTTATTCATCAAAGAAACAAATTCAAACTTTAGTATTGTTTTAGGATATGTGGATGAAATTATCATTCTAGTCCAAACAATAATATCGATTCACAAACAAAAATAAAAGATTTTCTTTCTTGGATTAGAATTATCCAAGTCAAAAAAGAAATATTTATATATCAGAATATCTTAAAAGATTGTAGAATATTGGTATCAAACCTTTATCTATTCCAATAGAATCTAACTTTAAACTAAGCAAAATCTAATACAAAATGGTTTGATTCCGAAAAATATCGAAGACTTATTGATAGACTCCTATTAACTATATCCAGACCTAACACATGTTTCACTGTGCACAAACGTAGTCCATTTATTTCCAATTTATATACACCGACCATATAAATGCAACTACAATGTTACTTAGCACCTCAAACATACTACCGGACAAGATATTTTATTCAAAGCTAATTCATATAGCAAATTACATGCATATTATAGATGTAGATTAGGGATCTTATCATTATAAAGAATCCACAAATGGCTGCTGCATTTTTCTTGAAAATTCCTTAATCACTTGGAAATCCAAAAAACTTAAAATAGTAAGTAAATCATTTATAGAAGTATACCAAAATTACTTGGTTGAATAATCTTCTAACTGATTTTGGCGTCAACACACCTTTTATCCTCAGAGAATAAAACATCCTAAAATTGATCTCTATTTCATCGTAAATAAAATTACTAAAGATATTTTGAAACTTATCCATTTCGTTGAAGAAGATATTAGATTATATAATTATAATTTTATTGTATAGTTAATTATTTTTATTACTGTGTAGTTATATTTTTTATTATTTAACAGCTAAATTCGTTGTTAATTTTTGTTTTTATTATTATTTTTTTAAATCTTTTATATGTTGTTAACCTCGTATTTCCCTTGTCTTTTATTATTATAAAATAATAATAATAATTATATATTTTTTTACCTCTCCCGTGATAACGCCAATACATTTTCTTCTACTACTTTAAGAAAATTAAATAATAAAATTTTAAAAGACATTAAATAATAAAATTTTCTGTATTGAATTAATAATTTGTCCCGCAATACTTAATGCTATTTCAATAATCATCACGATGTAAAATTGAAAAGAATAATCAACCCTCTGCCACCCCACAACAAACCACAGTTGGCCACAGAAAAGTACTACCACTAAAAAAAACTTGGACATAAAAGCTAGTCAAACGAGGGAACCAAACAAATCACAATATGATTACATTGTCAGGGTCCGTAAAAATCACAGTAATTTGTTACATAAGAATAAAAATGATAATATATATATATATATATATATATATATATATATATATATATAAAGAAAGAAAACAACAACAAAAATAGTCTATATATGTGTAATCTTCTCTTCCTCCCTCGCTTTAAATCAGCAATGCACCCAAGAAAATAAAACCCCTTAGTCACAAGAGAGTAGTGACTAACCACTACTCAGGCAGAGTTGGAAAAAAAGAGAACAAAACACCAAACACAACCACCTCAACTCCACACATTGAACAAAATGTTGGAGAATTAGAACAGAAGGCTAAATGCAAGAACAAAGAGTGAAGCAAAGGCAGTGGAGAGAGTGGTGGCATCAGATGAAGGACCTGGAGCAGGTGCCTCAGCAGCTGAAACCCCAGTTGCTGCCATCACCAACAAGGCAATCACCAAAGTTAAGAAAAACTTCTTCAATACCTCCATTGCTCAAAGTTGTTCTCTGTCTTTATTTTTTTTTATCTTCTTTTTTCTGTTGCAAGTGAGAGGAGAGGGTTTTCACACAATCGACAATGAGAAGTGGCAGTTGTTTAATGATAGCTTGCCGCGTGATTGGTGATCTTATATAGATGCGGGCAGAGAAAAAAGACGGGCAGCTGCCCGGACTTTCCCGCTGTAGACAGGTTCGAGGTGCTGGGCAGCCGCACCTGCCCGGTTGTTGGACAGAGTGTCTCCATTCGATTTCTTGGTGCGATACAGCTGTCGCCAACTGTTTGTGGGGTAACATTTTCTGTTGATAAATAAAATAAATTTGCCTTTTATTAAAAAAATTTATGCTACTTTTTTCGTCTGAAGTAATTGGCAATTATTCGTAGTAATTTGGGTATAATGCGAAGGTATAAAATAAATATCAGACACTAGGTTTTTTTTTTTAAGTTTCTATTTTGTATCCACTTGACTTATTTAATTAAGTTTTATTAAAATAAAAAATTAATTTATCAAATAATGGTATATTTGAGTTTAACATGTGTGTGAGCACAAGAATATATGTGAGGTTAGACTCAAAAGATAAGTACACTTTGTTTTGAATCCGTCTTGGATTTCAAGAATGTTCAATGATTTCTTGTGAAAAGAGAAGAGATTCATCTTTAAAAGATATTCCGATATTCAAATTAGTTTTTAGACAAGAGAATAATATATTTGAGAATTAGTAATAAAGTAAGATTCATTCCCTATCTTAATCTTTTTATATAGGACTTAAAAAATAATAATAACTCAAAATATAATAATTGATATAATATATTATAACAAATAAAAGATAGTTAATAATATATAACAAAATAATTAAACAAATACAATAGTTTTTACTAAATTTAGGGCAGATAGGTACACAAGTCCCCAAAACTCGAAGGTTGAATTTATTTAAGAATAGAGGTCAAACGAGTGTAAGGTTAAGTTGATAATTGTATCGAGTAGTGTTTGGTTTAAATGTGTCTATTCTATCAACTGTTATTCAGTTAGACAAAGATATACTCGTGAGATTTACTCAGCAAAGCTTATTTATTTGTCATGCAAAGATATTTGATAACTCGTATAATTTGTATGACCTCAAATAAAATAAATGTAGGTTTTGGTAACTCGTATGACCCTAACTAAGGTAAATGTAGGTTTTGATAACTCATATATCTAAGTAAGATATGTATTACTCATATGGCCCCAATAAGGTAGATGCAGGTTTTTATAACCCATATATCTGAATAAGGTATGTATAACTCATGCGACTCTAAATAGGGTAATAGTTTTTTATACTCATGTGACTCTAAGTATGGTAAGTCTTATACTCGTGTTACCCCGAGAAGGGTATAAGTTTTATAAACGTGTAACTCTGAGTAAGTTAATAATTTTATACTCGTGTAAACCCGAGTAGGATAATAATTTTATACTCGTGTGACTCTGCATAGGGTTATAATTTTATACTTGTACAACTCCAAGTAAAGTAATAGTTTTATACTCATGTGACCCTAAGTATGGTAAGTCTTATACTCGTGTTACCCCGAGAAGGGTATAAGTTTTATAAACGTGTAACTCTGAGTAAGTTAATAATTTTATACTCGTGTAACCTCGAGTAGGATAATAATTTTATACTCGTGTTACTCTGAATAGGGTTATAATTTTATACTTGTGCAACTCCAAGTAGGGTAATAGTTTTATACTCATGCGAACCCGAGTAGGGTAATAATGTTATGCTCTTGTTAATAGTTTTATACTCGTGACTCTGAGTTAGATACAACTTATGCTCATGTTACCCTGAGTAAGGTACAATGCTTATACTCATGTGAGTTCGAGTAAGGTACAATTTTTATACTCATGTTAACTTGAGTAAGATATAATTTTTTAAATAAGTTTTACAACTTTAAGTTGTTTCGAATGAAGTGTGTAAAACAAAATCGGATGAGTTCCTCAATTATATATTTAATCTTTTGACATTCGTCGATAGTATGTCCATAGTTCTGATGAAATCAACAATACTTGGTTGTATTTGTATGGGTTGGGGTTGGTAGTGGTGGAGGTGCGTGTACAAGTTTCAGACTGAGAGTCTCTTGGAGAATCGCCTCTCAATTGGTATTTAGGGGTATATAATGTTCATATTTAGCTATCCTAGGTTTTTTTAAGGGTTGAGTTGAGTGTGTCTGAGGACTGGTGTGTGTTCTCTTATGTCAGGCATTGTTATCCTCCATACAAATGTAGTTGGTTGTCCGAGCCCACAATTCATCAAGGGTTCTCGGTGGATAAGCAAAACAATTATCTATCAAAGGTTCGACCTGTAGAGCAACTAGTATCGCGTGTAGAGTCACCTCAGGGTGTAGATTTAGTATTGTGTTCGATACTCGACAAAACAATCCATGAACTATTACGGAGGGACTTACCCTCACCCTACTTCATGCTTTCTAAAGCCATCATTGTGGCTTCGTGCCTATTACTGGCTACGAATCTAGTTCAGAATCGTTTCACTAGCGTATAATATGAATCAACAAAATTATAAGGTAAAGAGTTGCACCATCGTAAGGCTAATCCTTTTAACGTGGTGGGAAAGACTCAACAAAGTACGACTCTGGTGTTGGTATACAATTTTACTTGTGTCTTATATATTGCTATGTGTTCTTTTGGATTTGTCGAGTCATCCTATTTCTTTATGTTGAGTAACTCTCAGTTAGATACGAAAGGTATTTCTATAATTCCTAAGAAGAATGGGTGATCGTTGTCTTCTTCATGAATTTTGATCCTTTGTAGACGTTGGGAATGTGCAAGTCAAAGTCAGAGTGAGACTTCCATTATATATTCTCTCGAATGAGGGAGTTGAATTATTGTTTCATTAGTGTGTTCATATTTGACATTCTCCCTCATGTGGCTCCGCCTCCTTCGACTTAATGTTTTGTCACTTGGATTAGGTGGATTTTTTGCTCTTTGTGCAGGTTGACTTCTAGTTTAATCTGGGTTTTGTAGGTTGATGCTAGTGACTATTGAGTTCGTACTTGACCGAATGTGGCAATTTCTTCTTGGTTTATACGTGACCTACTCGTTCGTTGTTGCTAAATTAAAGTCTTTATTTCGTTTCACAGAGTTTAAAGTTCAACTTGGTATTGACTTCGGATTAATTACAATTCTTCAATTGCTTTTTGTTGGATTTATGATAGCCTAATGTCATTTTGTTCTTGTAGATTCTTTATCTCATTGTGATTTTTTATCGACACTCATCCATATGCTTCTTGAGGCTATGGATGATGGCTACAGGTTCATGTTGTTATTAGAGTTGGATACTATCTGTATGCAAGTTAAAACTATAGAGTAAAAGAGATCATTTTACTGGATCCCATGGTGGGCACCAAAATTTCTTACTAGATTAGAGAAGGTCAACAAGAGGATCAGTGAATCGTGTTTCGAGCTTCGACTTCAAAAATGTTCAATGACTTCCTTTGGAAAGAGAAAAGTCTCACCTGCAAAAGATAATCTGACGCTTAAGTCATTTTTTAGACAATAAAGTAATATATTTGAGAATGAGTGATAAATTAAAATTTACTATTTGGTAGAGTCTTTTTAATAGGACTCAAAAGATTATAAATAATCCAAAAGATAATAATTAATATAATATATTATAATAAATAAAAAATAATTAATAATATATAACAAGATAATTAAATAAATAAAATAATTTTTAATGAATTTGGGTTGCATAGTACAATATATTTAGTTCATTTATAATTTAATTAATTTTTATAAAAAAATATTTTTTTAAATTATGAATATATATTTAAAAAATATTTTAATATTAATAAAAATATGCTTCAACTTTTTAATTAGAAAATAATTCGAATATTAATCTCAAATACAACTTAATATTTTTTTTGGTTACAACTCAATATTAATTAATAAAACATTAATTTTGAAATAAATTTAACATTTTAATAAATCTAATTCTTTTCATTTTAAACTATAAACAATTTAATTTCATTTTTTTTTAAATTTGGATTTAATTTATTTAAATAATCAAGTCTTATTAAAAGTTTGAGTTTTGTTTATTTTATTTAATAGATGGATTTGACTAAGTTCGAATAATTTAAAAATAACACTATACACCCGTATTTAGGAGTGTTTTGTGTAGTAATTTAATTTAGTTAGTCGGAAAATTTAACAAAATCGCGGGGGTACAGTTGAGACTTTGATTGTGTATGTATGATTTTTATATTTATTATTTTGATGTCACTTCTCTAGTCCCATGTGGTTCGTCATCGTCATAAATATTCTTGCAATATCACATTGACTTTTTTAAGAGTAGTACTTCTAAGCATTTTGATATACTAATGATAAATCATTGTTATATTACTTCTAAGCATTTTGATAAACTATTCAATGGATAAGGTATATTTTCTCTTTCAATTTTTTTAATTATTTATACATGTGTTGCATAACATATGTATTTTGTGGTTTACAGATATTTCATAATCATTTGAGAAATTAAACTTAAATTATTCGTAATTATGAGAAAAATAAATATATTTTAGGTTAAAAAATAATATTATAATTGTAATAAAGAAAAAAATTGTAATACAACTTAAATATTAAGCTATAAAACTTCTTATCCAAAATTGTAATATGTCTGAGGTATTCTTGCGATTTCATATTCGTTATAATATAACAAATAACATTAATATTATAAAGAGGGGTTTTCAATATAACAAATAATATTAAGACTTTTCAATAGAAGATAAAGAATAAATATCCAAAGACTTTTCAAAATAATATGAAGAATATCCAAGTGTATTAGATTTGTTAAAGATACATAAAAGGAAATGTTTTTCTGCAACTGTCATTAAAAAAGGAAACATACAATATGTTGTAAAGACTTTTAAGGAAAGTATTTGAACCATAATCTAGATATACTAAAAGGAGATTTTACGCACAGAAGAATATCAAAAGAATATCATATTATTGAGGAAATATTTGCAAAAAATAATAAAGACTAAGGATTTTGCAGTCATATCTTGAAGCGTATAAAAGGAGGACCTCACTGATGAAAGAAAACACAACACAATAACTACAATACAATTCTATTAGCCTCTTGTTCTCCTTAGTGAGTGTTTTCTATTAGAAGATTTAAAAGAGAAGAAGTCATTGTTATATTCTTCACCTAGTGAAGTAAAACCTCATTTAAGAGTGTTCAATGTTTATCCTCTTGGTGAGAGTTATTTTAGTACATAGAAAGAAGTCATTATTATATCTTT